GGGGGGGGGGGGGAGAGGTGAGCCAGCTAGTAGCCAGCTACTACACGGCATGAGCCAAACACAGAGACAAAATGCCGCACACGCGCTCCTCCATGCCCCCAATGCTCGTGCAATCAGTATCTGTGTATCATGGGTCATGTGTGTGTGTCTGCAGGCAAGCTCATCTGCCAGCGAGCGGGTTATGTGGTGAGGGACCTGCTGGAGTGGTGCAACCTCGCCGCCACCGGGGGACCTGCAGACCTCATCTCCGCACCTCTCGCAGAAATAGCCGTCGCTTTCGCTGACAAGATCAGTCCGCCACTGTGTGCACCACCTGATGGATTCCAGGTCATCGAGTGACAAAGCATGTGCGCATTTCGACTACGTTATGTTTCTCTCTGTTTTTTGCCGCAGGCCACAAATTGGTTCCCGGGAGGGTCGTCGGTTCTGGGTGGCTTACTGGGTGAGGATGTCATCAAGGCGTGTGGCGATATGCTCAAGCCGCTGGACATCAACCTGAAGAACCTGGGCAGTTGACTGACATGTCGACTTGGGCTGAGCTGATATGCTGTGAATAGACATGTGATTGTCGAAACTTCCCCTTTTTCGGTGGCCATGGTGATGCGGCAGCGGCAGAGTGATGCGATGATGTGTATGCCCTGAGACGCTCCCTCGAGTGTGAGCTGCATGTGACACAATGACAGGTATGAGATCAGTCGAGCAATGTCCACCACACAGCACAGCACACTGTTGGCTCTCATGCATTGCTGTCTTTGTCTCCGCCATTGTCCACTTGCAACACATCAGCCTGCCCCTCTGGCTGCTCTGCCTCCTTCGCATTCGGCACTGACGCCACCATAGACAGACGCCGCAGCCGGTCGGCCGCGAAGGCACTCTGCATATAGCCATCCAGGAGACGCACACACGCACATGCAACGACTGTGTGCCCTGCCCTAGTGCACAGCATTACCAGTCTATCGACGTTTAGGGCCTGCTCGAAGAGGGAACGAGCAGCACGGAGGTCGCCAGCCCATTCGATGGCGTTGGCTATCGACGACGTGTGTTGAGGGTCTGTGGGGCCGCCATTGGCGGCACGTGTCTGGCCGATGAGCCGATAGAACTCACCCAAACCGCACAATGAGTCGGCATCCTAATGGACAGACGACAGACCGACAGACAGGTCTACACGAGAGAGAGTGGGATTCCATTTCTTCCTTCATTCACCTCACTGTCGACAGCGAGGGATTGCTTGTAGTAATTTCGCGTGTGCACCCGCTGAATGGCCACATTGCTATCTGCACACGGCCAACACACGTGCTTGCTGCATGACAATGAGACACAGCATTTCCCACCAGGCGGCGTGCTCAGTCTCGTCCCAGAGCTGCTCGATGGCGCCTCGCTCCTCTCCGGCCGCATGGCCCGCCTCTCGTGACCAGGGTAAGTCACGATGGTCGGTGCACCCAATCGATGCGCCTCAGCGACCTCTAGCGGAGGGGATATGCTCGATTTCAGTGCACGCACATAGGCCAGCAGGTCTTCATCAGACGCCGCCTGCTCATCGGCGGGGCAGGAGGGCATTTCGATGCCGGTGTGGTCTTCTTCTCCTTCTGCAGGGACCGAGGCCTCCTGGTCGTCATCGAGAGACACGTTGGGCGGTGGGCTGAGGTCGATGCTGTCGATCAGATTCTTGCCCATGACGGGACTGTTGCCGCCTGGACAATGACAATGGAGAGGATAACACATCACAACAGGACATCATGTGTCTCACACGGAGTGCCAGCCCACCGGATTGCGCAGGTGCCGTGCTCAATCCTGTCCTGTCGACTTCCCGCCCTTCGTCCTTCCCCACGGGCAGCGCCACCGACGCGGCCCTCTCCTCCAGTGAGTCCATCATGTGCAGCCCACCGCTCTCGAAACTCAATGCGCCGGAGCCAGCAGTCTTGGCGCGCATCAGCTTGACGAGCACCTTCACCAGGTCCTCGAGGGACCGGAACAGCTCGCTCAGGCCGAACAGCTTGACGGCGCGCTCTTTCTGCCGAGAAAAAGGGACAGCGAGGGAGGCTGTGCTGTGTGTGATTGCGTGTGCGTGCGGTTGGGTGGGAACTTTGTTGCACTCGACTGCCTGTCTGTAGGCGGCACGTGCTGCCATGAGGTGGCCGCGGCAGAGGAAATTGTGAGCGATGCCGAGCCAACACAAAGTGGACTGCGTCATACATACACACATACACACATGCGTGTATGACGTAGGGACGCGCAAGGAGTGTGTTCGTCTTGGTTACCTTTGGCTTGACTTGCAGGACACACCGGTAGAGCACGTCACTCGACAGCCAGCGACCCCGCCGCTCCCTGGCAGCCAGAAAAAGAAAAAAAGATGGCAGTCGTGCAGGGGAGGATATGTGTGTGCTCACCTGTAATACTCGGCAGAGAGGAAGAACGTCTCGATTGCAGTCGGCTGTGGACAACAGGTCAAACAGAAAATCATGCTCGCTGCGTCATGCACGAGACATCACTGCACCTACATTGCTGGCGACGTAGGTCGCTGCCTCTCGATAAGGCATCTCCTCAAGCAGACCTGAGCACACCACCAGCAGCCACAATGCACCAGAGGCGTGACTCACTTCGCATTGGCTCACCGTCGATCGACGCCTGGGACGAGAAGTCACTCAGACCTCTCAAGACCACCCCACCTGACACACAATCCGGACCCAGGACCGACATCTCGAGACATGGAGTCCGGCTGCCCTCACCTTCGGCCCCGGCTCCCTCTCTCTTCACCTCCTTGCCCTCGTCTGCAGCCGGTTGCCCCTCCTGCTTGCCTTTGGCAACCGCAATGGAAGTTCTCGGATTGAAGGTCCCGATAGGGGCGCTGCTCATGGGCTCGCTCAGCTGCAGCTCACCCATGAGGGACGGCCGCACCCTGGGTGACTCGGTCTGCTGAGGCACTTCCTCGGGGATGGGCAGTGTCTGCAGCGACAGTCGCATCGATGAGCTGGGCGACTCGCGAGGGGGGACATCACGCCCAGGGGGTGTTGCGGGGGGAGGGCTACATGGGACGCCAGACAGACCGACAGACAGACAGACAGACAGACAGACAAACAGACCGACAGACCGACACATGGTAAATGACAAGCATACACATTATGCACCACAAGTCGGCGTACGCAGGCAGAGGGACTTTGGGTGCAGGGCCCGATGCCTTGAGGACGGGCAGCTGTGTGGGCAGGGAAGCAGGCGCAGCTCTCGGAGACACGACAGATCCCCTGGGCGAACTCTTCCTTGATGTGGGGCTGGCCGCGTGATCAGTGGAGGGCGGGGCCTCCTGCTGAGATGAGATGGATGCGCGCTGGGACTTGGGTGAGGGTGTGCGCTTCACCCGCTCCTTAGACGTGTCGGTGGTGGGGAGGTCTTCATCGATCATCCACATGGCACGGTACTGTGTCGTGCCCCAATAGTAGACACCTCCATTCTTCAACAGGCTGCGACACAACGGGAGATGACGACTTGGAGACATGCAATGGTTGCTCTGCCTAACCTTTCGGCGCTTTGTTTGCACATTATCTGGTGCATCTCTGGCATGAGGACCGTAGTCCCCCTCAATCTCACCTCGTCAGCAGCAGGCCCGCCCGCCTGGTCACCTTCTCCTTCATGAGAAGCTTCGCGGTCGAGTGCAGCTGCCACAGAGACGACACACTCCCGAAGTGACGGAGGGAGGGAAGGGGCGGGGTCCTGCAGACAAGAAAAAGTGCATGTCTCTCTTCGCGCAGGCGCCTGCTCGTGTGTGGGTGGACCACAAGAGTGAGCACAGTAGGGCTTTCAAGCAGGTCATCAACAGTCGGGCGAGACGAGGGCAGTGGACTCAGCATCTGACGAGGCAACCCAGAACAAATGTGCGCATCTAGGTGTGGCTGCAGAAGCATATCTAGATGGGCTTCACCGTGCAGATGAGCTCGAGGAAGTCCGTTTGGGGCGGCGGTGCACCAATCGCTTCGAGACGCGACAAAACGAACTGTGGCACCCCGTCGGGGGAAAGCCGCAGCACGTCCGCCTGCACCCACATACACAAGCACCGCCGTGCACATGCATCAGCAAAGCAGTCCCAGCCACGCTAACCGGATCCCCGATGAACTCCGAATGAGGCGTGAGCGTCGCCATCTCGAGCAGACACATACCCAGAGCAAAGACGTCATCCAAGGGCTGCACACCAAAGTGGTCCGGTGTCTCCTTCATTGCCGCCAGCCGCTGTCGGGGGTAGAACGGGGAGTGCGGCATGTGGGCATTCTCATGGTCGGAAGGCAGCGTGTTGACGTGAGCGTCACCGATCTTGATCGCGGGAGCTGTGCGGCCGCCCTTGCCAGTGGGGGCCTTCAAGAACATGTTGTTCAGCTGCAGATTGCCATGAACGAAACCTGCGAGCAAAGGAGGCATCATCGTGTGGACAGCCTCTGTGTGATAAACAGTGACCTTGGTGATGGATTGTCTGCAGTGTCTGCAGCAGGGTGGCGGCGAACTGATGCAGCTGGCCAGGAGAAAAATAGGCAGGCGGGTCGAGGGCGCGGCGACGAAGGATCTCGTGCTCGAAGCTTGTGTCCATCAGCTCCTCTGACACACATACAAACACACAAGCAGCCGCAGCCGTGTCTCGTTGTCCGTGGGCCATTTCTGTTTCCATTTTAGCCTACCCACGACGCAGCAGCGGAACTTGCTTCCCTGTGTACACTCCTCAATGAAGCACACATTGGCGAGTATCGTCACCTTGCCCGACTCTTTGGCTTTGAATTCCTTCATCCACTCTGCTTGCCCCACAAACTCCCCGAGCACCCTCTCCGCCTCTTCCAGCGTGTCGAGGGCCACCCTTTTCAGTGCCAAGTGTGGTTTCTGCTCACTGCCAGAGGTGGACAAGCTGGCGCTGAGTCGTCTGGCTGGCGTCACACACAGGACGTCCTGAAACACGGGAACACACACGAGGGGAGGGGGTGATATGTTTCTCGTGTTTTCTCATTCTTTCCTGCTCACCCCGTAGCCCCAGCATGCGTCCCGGCTCCCCAGCTTTCGTACGACTTCCCAACGCTCCATCTTTCTGTCCCCCGCTCAGCCACACCGATCGCGAGCTGCGAGCTGAGAGTGAGTCTGAGAGACCTCATTGGCATACATATTCCTTTTCTAGCCTATTCTGCAGCCAGCCACAGTGCCTGGCGGCCTCGTGCGAAGAGGGCGGCTGATCTCCCCAAACGCCTCGTACGGTGGTTGCTCGAAGGTAGATTGTAGACATGGGCCTGCCGGAGCATCTCTTCGAGGCCCATGCGTCCCCAGGTGGAGCAGCCATCCTCAAGCAGGTGAATCGGTCACAGATCTGTCTTGCATGTGGCTTGACGAGGCTGATCTGGCTCCTGCATGCCTTGATGGTGTGGTGTGCTGGCAGTTTGAGTGTTCGGGTGAGTCAGTCGGCAGAGCGATATGACAGACCTGACGGGGAGTGGGCGCACCAGACTCACGATTTCGCGATGCCCTCCTGCTGTGTGTCGTGTTGGTGTTTTGCTTGCAGTGTGTCTCGACATCGTCAGGGACCCTGTCATCACGACTGAATGCGCACACATCTTCTGCAGGGGTACAGTGGGTGGGAATGCCGCACGCACAACACACAGCTCATTGCGTGCGTGCGTGCGTGTGTGTGTGTGTGTGTGAGTGCTTGCAGATTGCTTCGGGACGATGGACACGTGCCCACTCTGCCGCCAGGACACCGATATGCACCCGCTCAAGGGTCAGCAACACACAGGCCTGCCTGCCTGCCCACACCACACACATGGGTGATTGGGTGCTGTGTGTGTTGGTTTCATTCGCTCAGATACCAATTCCGGCCGTGCCCTCTGGCGGGTGCTGTGCTGCCTCAAGATGCGATGCCCCAAGAGCGACGACTGGCAGAACCACCCCTGTGCGTGGGTGGGTGAGTACGCCGACCTCGAGAAGCACATGGCCGAGTCATGCGTCCAGCAGCATCCCCTCTGTCCCCAGTGCAGGGCACAGGTACACACACACACACACACACATCAAATGCATACTCTTTTGGCTCTCTGTCTCTCTCTCTTTCTGGATCTGTGTGTGCGTCAGGAGTCGGTGATTGCGGCCTTCAAGGAGGAGATGGAGGCCAAGTTTGCTGCCGTGACGGCAAAGCTGGACCACTTGGGCGCCTGTATCATGCACCATGCCGAAGTTACGCGGCACACGAGCGCTTCGATGATGCACACGACCCAGTAAGCAAGCAAGACAAGACGCGCAGCCGTCCATTCCATGGGCATGCACAGTGAGTGAGTGATGGTGTGTGCTCGATCGATCCACTCAGGCAAGTGGCGATGCCAATATTTCACAGGCTGGACCTGATGGCGAGCAAGTTGGACGTGGTCGACACCATGGTCAACGTCGCACTGGAGCGCACCAGTGCTGCCGTTGTCCAAGTGGCCGAGTGAGCGAGAAAGGCACACACGTGGCTGTGCGTAGCGAGTCACACATGGATTACAAGTGTCGGTTGATCGACTCAAACCTGCAGGCAACTCGCGACCAAGACGGCGCGCAAGTATAAGTTCTGCATCGAAAATGGAAACAGCAACGACGTAAGGACAACCAACACCCACCCACACAGGCAGGCAGGCAGGGAGGCGGGCAATGGCGACCTCTGACGTGTGGTGCGTTTGTATGTGTGTGGGTGGCAGCTGACGCGTGGCCAGCACGACATCACTTTGGGCCACATCGAGCTGGGCACCTCACCCAACAACCTCAACCTCAAGGTCGACCTCACCATCGACAAGGACAACGACTTCGATGTCTACCTGTACCTCAGCACGGAGCAGGGCACGCCACAAAACAACACAACACAGCACATCATGCGCCTCTCTCGTCATTCTCGACATCATCGTGTGCAGGTGAGGGAGACGTCCAGGCGGTGATATCGGCCGAGCCGCGGTGCTTCGCGCCCGTCAAGGATACCCGCGTGCTGGACTGCACCCCCCAGGGCGTCCGCCTGTGCAACCGCCGCGACCTGACCTTTACCGAGGACGATGAGCTGTGGTTGACGGTGGAGGTGCGGTCTGCGGTGGTGCTGCGGACGGTGCGGGAGAACAAGAAGAGCAGGGGCAAGTTCGAGGTGGGCCAGGAGATAGTGGGCGGCCAGCGCGGCCGCCACGGCAACCGGCACTAGCAGGACCAACATGCCCTGCCGCCACTATGTAGCCATCTAGCGAAGGAGGCAGGCAGCCAGCCTATTAGCATGAGATAGATGACCCGCTCACACGGATGCACTGTAGGCTGGCAGGGAGGCATCCGTGAGATCGACCGGCCGTTTTGGTCATCATCGACTAGTGGGGCTGATGGCGGGATTCGTGTCGTGTGTGCAAGATTGCATCTCATGTGTGACTAAGGGAAGAGGGGAGGGCCACTGTATACGCTTCACATTACACGGTTTTAACGACCATTGGACGGAGCTCATTTCGGCCATGATGCATTTGATGTGTCTGTAATGAATCCATGGGGGCGGGGTGCCTGTTTGTGTGTTGGTGTACTCGTGTGTGTGTATATACAGTCGTGCATGTGTGTGGTGTGGATAGATACGTATCCTCTATCCGTTTTCGGCCCGCAAGGGTGTGGTGTGCATACTTCTTCCATGTGCAAATGCCTCCACGGCCTTTATGCAAATCATGACTGACTGACAAAGCGACTGATCTTTGTCTCCATTCCCCGCACCCCCTCCATCAGTCAGCTACGCGCATGGCTGCCTATCCGTCCGTCCGTCTGTCCGTCCGTCTGTCTGTCTGTCTGTCCGTCTGTCTGTCTGTCGTCTGTCTTCCTCTGTGTATGCGCGACTAGCTTGGCGCGTGAGCTGCTGATGGTCACGTGGGCATAGTGATGGGGGGCTGGGCATGGCACACATTCATCTGGTAGCAAGGGACGCTTCTCCATAGGAACTGAAAGCTGTTGAGTCGTTCGATCCACATTCATAAACGATATGCTGCGTATCCACATCGCTCCATCACTCCGCAAAAAAAAAAAGAGAAGACGGCCACAACCTCACAGTCACACATACCACACCAGACTAGAAGAGACCAGAGAGACAGAGACGAAAAGAGAAAGACATGAATAAACCGATCGACCGAAAGTCGGCGAAAAAAGGCGACTAAAGATGAGGATGAGTGAGCACACAGACCTAACTGGCCCACGCGCCAAAAAAGAGTCACTGTCCGATGACCACGCGTCTCAGCTGATATCAGTCAGCCCCGTGACGATGATCTGCTCATTCGACCGCACGACATTTTCCTCTCGCAGCACGCCCTCGCCCCTCGGCACATACTGACTGTCGTACCCTTCCTCTCGCCATTTCCTGCAGCTGCAGAACCACGTGTGGCCACCACTGCAACCACTGGCGTCGTGTGTCTTGCACTTGCCCATGTCAACGGCGAGCGTCAGCACCGTACCCTTACGATGGTGGCGGGCGAATGCAGTCGCCTTGCTGTAGTCGCGCGTGACGTAGATGCCGGGGCCGAACATGCCGTCCCTGGACGGCCGGAAGCCGTTGCGTCTGATGGACTCAGCATTCGATTTTGACGTTCCATGATAGCTGAAGACAAGACACGCACACACAGGGGACAGCTGAATGCATGAATGCCGTGAATGTGTTTGTGCGTGATCTGAGTGCCTGCCCACCAAGTGTAAGAGTTGGCCAGCCCAGTGCCATTGTGTGCCACCGAGTAAGAGTCTGGCCTTCCTGCCGCTCCCCTTGCAGTTGAAGCATGATCGCCTCTTTGTGAGATAGGCGAATAGGTCGCCCGCAGCCAACGCACCAAAGATCCAACCCCACATGAGCCAGGTGACCTTCTCCTGTCTCCGCTGGTCCACTATTCCTGCTGCAGGAATAGTGGTGATAGCAGTAGGAATAGTGGTGACACATCACAAACTGATCAGTATGTCAGCTCCCCCGCGCCAGTATGCCTGCTGCATCTGCTTCGACTCTTTCTGCCAGAAGGACATGTGCTTCCATTCATCGCTGTTCCGTGCCCCTCACGGCACGTGCAAGCCGTGTATGGGTCAGTACGTAAGACGCGCATCGATGACGGCCAAGTGGAGCCCATCAAGTGCCCAGCAGATGGCTGCACGAGGTTGCTATCGGAGGCACAGGTCAAGAAACTCGTCGATGAGGCGACTTTCGCGCGATCCACTACCCGACGAGGTGCGGCGAAAAGCTGGTGCTTCGGCTGGCAAGCTGGCCCTACCAGTCAGAAAGCTGGACAGACACTCAGAAAGCCAGCCAGCGCCACGGAAAGCCAGCTTTGCAGTGCAGAAGGCCAGCCTTCCAGGCGGAAAGCTGACGCAAAAATGGCGGTTTTGGACAGGCTTTTGAGCCTGATGAGTGCTCAAAAGTGGTGCTCCGTGAGCAACGTATGCTCCGTATGTGTGTGTGTGTGTGTGTGTGTGTGTGCGGACGACTCCTGTGATGGACATACACGTTGCAAGCAGCCCATCAGCAAACATAGATTCGATCTTATAATGTATTTATTGTACACACGCGCAGAGGTCCCGGTACACGCACACGTACACTCATGATGGAAACAAAGACGTTGCCATCTGGCATTCTCACTCTCACTGCTCACGGCACGTGATGGACACCTAGGTTTGCACACCACTGATCGATATCGACGCATGCGCACTGCACATGTGACCCGCCATGGCAGTCCTCTCTACACCTGTCTGTCTGTCTGTCTGTCGGTTCATCTACGTCTCGCCCTCCTCCTCGTCCTTCTTGTCCTCCAGCAGCCGCACTATCTCGTCTATCGTGTCAAACTGACACACACACACGCACGGAGACACACACACGGATGTAGGGCTGTCGTGTGTATCTGTGTGTGTGTGTACCTGTCGGTCGAATTTGGTGTTGTAGAGGAATGGCCTGTGGTCGAATCGGTTGTCGTCGGGCGAGTAGCTCTCGGCGTGGTACGCCGGCGTCAACGTCGTCATCTTGTGCCGATTCTCAGCGTACTTGACGAAGAAACGCTTCACCTACACACACACACACACATTCCTCCCTCCCTCCCTGTCTGTCTGTCTGTCTGTGCGTCAGCTGACCTTCTCTGCGGTGACCCTGGGGCTGTGCTGGGTCCAGTGGTGCATGAGCTGTCTGAACATGGATACGGGGCCGCACCTCTGTAGCTTGCGCAGACGGCCGAACCAGCCGAGCTCCTCGTAGGTCATGCCCATGTCGACCTCGTCCTGCTGTGTGTGGTTCTCCAGAGACGCGTCGCCGATCGGGCGGAGCTCAGCTGTCGGGGGGGCCGCTACCACCTGCACCACACACACACACGCAGGAGCACACACACACACACACACATGGAAAAGGTGTGTGAGGGTGCGTGTGTGTGGTGTGGTACCTCCTTGAGGGCTGGGTAGTTCAGGTTATCCGCCGCCCAATACTGATTGATCGGCACACAAAGGCGTGTGTGTGTGTGTGTTGGTGCGTATGGACTGGACGTACGAGGAATTCTTTGAGGTCGACTTTGGAGATGGCCCCGATGGGGTTGATGTCACCGCTGGAGCAGTCGTACTTGGTCAGATAACCTCGCAGACCCTCGTCCACATTCCCTGACCACACACACACACACACACACACAAACCAAGCCACACACATGTCTGTGTGTGTGTGTGTGTGTGTGCGCGAGGGGGGTACCTGTGGCGAGCACTAGGAGCCATCCCTTGAAGCCCCTCACCCACGGCAGCAGCGCCGCCAACATGTACGCCAGCACCATACGGGTACGCGCCTGGATATTCTGCACCACACACGCGCACACACAAAGGACACACACAGTATGTGTGTCTCTGCAGCCACCCAGCGCACAACGGACAACGGACAACGCACCTGCAGGGCGAGATCTTCGCCAGGCGACCCCCCATCACAGGCAAATCTGAGCGTCTTGCCGGTGACCGTCTTGAACACCGCCTCGAGCGCCTTGGTGATGGGGTCAATGGTGGCGTCCATGTGGTAGGCGCCTATCTCCTCGGCGAGTGCCTTGGCGAGGCCGTGTGTCTTCTGCGAGGAGTTGACGGTGCCCATGTAGGTGGTGTGCAGCAGCTGGTGGGCGAGCTCCTGGTGGGACCGGGGGAAGCTGTCCGGGTGTTTGCAGTGCAGCACCTGCTCCACCTGACCAATCACCTCCTCAGAACCTGTTTAAAGCATCCATCACACAGCCAGAGGAAGGGCCAACCCTAAGAGCCCATTGCGCGTGTGTGATATTGTGTGTGTGTGTTTTTTTTTTCCGCACGGTCGTCGATGCATTTCCTCATGACGATCTGGCACATGGACCCCACAATGGCCGCCACACTCGCGCTGTCCGCCCCGCCACTCAACGGCACAAAGAAGCCCCTACACACACACATCCATCCATCCATCCATCTGTGTGTGTGTGTGTGTGTGTCAGGACACCTACCTAGCTCCGCTGCGTCTGAGGTAGTCCCACAGCCAGCATGCGGGCCCCTCGGCGATCTCCTCCATGGGGGTGCGGTAGACCGGTGCGCGGGGCGGTGTGGGCGCCACGTAGGCGTCAAGGTGAGTCGGCGGCGACGTCAGCTGGATGTCCGCAAACACCCGGGGGAAGGCCTGCTTCAAACCGGCAGCCTGCACCGAGCGGGAGCTCACCTGACAGGCACAGACACACCGACACACACAGATGCAGGTGTCCGTCTGTGTGTGTCGGTGTGGGTGTGGGGTGGGAGTGGGGTACCTACCGCGGCTCTGTATGAGCGGACTTCGTCGAGGTCGACTCGTGCGGTGATGACCTCGACGTCGTTGACGGCGAACTGGCTGGCCTGCTGCACTACCTGACCGTTGACGGCGATGAGGGCACAGCCGTCGTAATACAGCCGGTTGCCGTCACACCCCTGCACACACAACACACACACATACTAACTCACACACCATGTGTGTGTGTGTGTGTGTGTGTAGATGCGTTCATTCAGGCCTGCCTGCTGGTTGGCGTAGAGATACACGCCTCCACTCTTCGATGTGGCACTGCACACACACACACACACACACACACACACAAGACAAAGACAACGACACCATCAGCCACACAAACCCAGATATCCACCTCGGTACCTGAGAATGAGGTCGATCCTGGTGTCGAGTTTCCTGAGCTGGTGGTGGGAGCCGCTGCCGTTGCCAATGATCTCCACGCCGTCGAGGAAGAGCGGGATGTGTGGCGAGTGGGGCGTCCACAGCTCCTCGCAGGTCTCGCTCGCGACACTCGTGTCGCGACAGTCTATCACACCTATGCCGAACGGCACCTTCTGCTGACCAGTCACCTAACCACAATCACACACACATACACAGAGGGAGAGAGGGAGGGAGAGAGAGAGAGAGACGTCTGTGTCACGCAATTGTGCCCGTGTGTGTGTGTGTGTGGTGGCACCTACCTGTGCGACATTGAGAGGGAGGTAGAAGTCTTCGAGGATGTTGCCCTTCATCCAAGGGGCGAAGAAGCGGAACTCTCTGTAGTTGCCGTCGTTGGCGAAAAGGAGCTTTGGGCGGATCATGAGGATCTTGCCGTCGAGGCAGAAGATGCGGCAGTTGTACCGCACCGACTTGTGCATCACCGGCGCACCGATGTCGCACAATATCCCTTACCAGTGAGATAGTTGTGGACACACACACACACACAGAGAGAGAGAGAGAGATGGATGGGCAGGGATGTGTATGTGTGTGTGTGTGTGTGTGTGTGCATACCGTGTGTGAGGTCCGTTTTGAGTATGCGCGCCATGCTCTCCCACGAGTGCTGGAAGGTGTCGTTCTCCAGAAAGTGATCTTCACACCTGACATCGCCATCACACACACACACACAGACACAGGGGTGTGCATGATGCCCGCCCGCCCCTCCATCCCTCCACTCACTGACTGATTCACTCACCCATAGCCGCACAGTTCCAACTCGGGCCCGATGCGCAGCTTGGCACCTAAACAAACACACCCACATACAAAAGATACCCATCGTGTTGCGTGGCCATGTCTGTGTCTGTCAGTGTGTGTGTGTGTGTGTGTGAGCTACGTACGTCTTTCTTTTGCTCCTCGTATGGAGGCTTCTGTGCGAAAGAGGTTGCCCTCGAAGTCGAGCGCCCACTGGTTGAGGTTGCAGGTGGCGACGGTGGCGATGCGCATGGCGGTGGGTGGCGATGGGTGCGATGGATGCTCGCGGAGGGAGGCCGATCAGATCAGCAGCTTGAGGTGCACAATGGATGGATGACGAACGTGCTGATGTTGGCAGACTGGATGATCTATCTGGTCTTCGCTCTCCTTCGCGACGAGTCGACAGTCAATTCCTGCTGAATGGTATTCTTGGACAGAGATCTTGTGGGAGCAAGGTATTCCTGCTTGGAGATCTGAGTTACAGGGTTTAGGGTTTAGGGTGGGAGAACGGGCAGACCTTTCACCGTCTCCATCCGTCCATCATCACGCCACACAAGAGTCAGTCAGGTCACACACACAAGTATGATGCCATACGATGGATCGATGAGAGATCATCACATCTACCCACCCGCCCCGCCCTCAGCCCCTCTGCAATCAGTCAGTCGATCAGTCCATCCATCCATCCATCCACGGCCATCCATATTACCTGCCTGTTGCTAGGTAAGCAAGAACACCTCTAGACGGACAGCGAGGAAGAGGAAGAGAGTCAGTCAGTCAGTCAGCCGTGCCGAAGCACACACACACACACACACACAGACGTACGCATGGTGCAGCAAAGAACACTCCACTCACAGCGCGGACACCCACACACATACACTTACACATAGGAAGAAAAGACTTCTTTCATTCACAATGGATGGATGGATGGATCGCTCTGCCTGCATCCGATGAGCTGCATACACTTGCCCTTGCTCACTCGTGAACACACGCATACGCGCCGCGCACGGACGAACACATGGATGGACGGGGGGGGGGCAAAGACAGCCACACACACAGACGGACAGCCACACAGACAGACAGACAGACAGCCACACACACAGACGGACAGCCACACAGACAGACAGACAGACAGACAGCCAGGCAGACAGGACAGTCTGGAGTAGCGGGGGTAGAGGCAGGCAAGATGGGGAAGAGAACACCACCTACTGCACATAAACACTTTCCTGTCCGTCCGTCCGTCCGTCAGTCTGTCGGCAGCAACTCAGCTCTCCGAAAAAAGGCAGCAGCAGCAGCAGCATCATCTCATTCCCTCCCCTCCCCCTTAGCTGCAGAAGACTTGCCCCCCCCC